AAAACGGTGGGGGTGGAGCGGGGGCGCCGGGGCGGCGGGCGACGGCGGCGAGTGCCAGGGGTATGCGTCCGGGGCGTGGAGCGGCGGCGGCGGAGGCGGCGGCGGCGGAGGCGGCAGCGGCGGCGCGAGCGGGCGCGCGGGTAGGCAGGCGGTGGCGTGGTCCAGGGCCTGCGCGACCGGGATGGTGACCGAGCCCAGGAGGCGGTCGCACACGACGAGGTTCTTGTCGAAGATGTGCAGGTGCAGGACGTCGTGCGGGCGGGCCACGAAGACGAGCAGGTGGTACCACTTCGGGTCGACGGTGTTGAGACACACGACGGTGGTCTTCCTCTCGCCCGTGCGCGCAAGCGTGACGACTGCGTACGGGTCCGACGCGCCCTTGCCGACGTTGGCCGCGCGGAGGGACGTCGCGGACATGATGCGCACTTGAATGGGCGATTCGGAGGCCATCGCGGGCGTGCGGCGCAGGGGAGGGCGGGGAGGGGAGGCAAGGTGGAGGTGACGAGCGCAGATGGTGAGGGGCAGAGGGTGTGAGGGCGAGGAGAGTGACGGGATGCTACAGTGCGCGAAACGCAAATAAATACACCCTCCGTCCCGCCCGTGTTTCCGTATCGCAACCAGATTTTATAAAAGCACCTCTTCACCCGCCTCAACAACGTGCTGAAACGAACGATTCTGAAGTCGAATTGGGTGTAGCTCAAACCACCGCCGTGCTATTCATAAAAAACCATGCGAAATGCAAATAAATGCACGAAACGCCATATGATACAGTACCAAAGAAAAGTTTATTCTAGTACTTTAGAGGGTTTACGCAAAACAAAATGACATGGCTAAATGCGCAAAAATGAGACATGTGCTGTTCTGAATTTTCCACCGAAAATAATGGTTTTTGGGTCAGCGATTAACAACACTTTTCCGTAATGCCTAATTACTAACAACTGCTAAGCTTTTCTTCCTGGTCGCGGAAACGCCATTAACTGGTACACACAGTTGGGCAGGGGTTGGGCAGACGAGGAGCGAATCAATGTGAAACCTTTCCAGGCAAATTAACTGTATTTGAATCTGAAAAGTCTCCAGGCAAACAACTGCTAGGGGCGTGCATAATGTCTCCCGTCAGCCGATCTGTTTAGCTCAAACAGTGCTGCTTGTACAAGCGTTCTGAGCCCGGCGCCACCCCCCCCCCCCCCCTTTGCGACATGGACATCAACCCTGGCTCTGTCTCCGCGCACCCGTCCTAGTCTTCTTTGCCGGCTTCGCCATCATCTCTGTCTCCACCTATCTCTCCGCCTTCATCCCCGTCACTATTGCCGTCGCCTTTGCACGCTTCCTCCACTCCATTCGGCCATTTACACCTTACGCCGAGCACTTTTGCTGACTATTTCAGCTTACCACACCGGCCCGGCGATTGTTACGAACTTATTGACGGAATCCTATACCATCAATGCGAGGACATGGCCGATGTACATCACAAGAGCATTCAAGACGAGCTCCATGCCGTTTTTGCTGTGGCCAACACCGAACGCCCATCTCCTGAGTGGGTGACGGCTTATGCGGAAGCAAAAGTGGGAATCAGTGGAAACTCCCGCGCTGCTTCTCAGCCATCCGCCTCGTCTTCACGTCGGCGTAGGGATTCTATCCTCATTGCCGATATTGCTGTTGGACCCCATGTTACGCCTGAGGAACAAGCAAACATGTCTCCAACCTCGAAGAAAGTCGACTTCCCACCAGGCAGACCCCCTTTCTTGGTCGTTGAGGTGACGAGTACCAATCGTGTCGAAGATTTGACGACCAAAGTAGGGGAGTACGCACGCGCTGGGGTTCCAGAGTACGTGGTCGTCGATCGTGAAAAGTCCCGGGTCATTGTCTACAAACTCAAAGAAGACAAGAGCGACAAGAAAGGAACGAAAGCGCAGCGTTCGTCACGAATCAGCAGTGCGGCCGTCGCAAACAAGGCAAGGACGTATCAAAGTCAACGATACTACTCCAAGGATGACATCGTCGAAGCTGTGGCGTTCCGTGACCTCAACCTTACCGCACATAATCTTCTGCATCCCGAGAAGAGCAGTACTCGCATAATCGTATCTCCTCTTCGTCAAAAAAAGACAAGAAGATCTCGGAACAAGGCAAGAAGATCTCGGAACAAGACAAGAAGATCTCGGAACAAGACAAGAAGAACTCGAAACTCAGCAGACGCGTACAAGAATTGGAGAAAAAGAACGCCTACTTGTACAAAATGGTAAAACAGGGAGGAAAGGGGGAAAATGCAGGTGCTGTGAGGTCGCAGCGACCTGAAAGCGGCAATAGCCAGAGCCAGAAACGCGGTAGAAGTGCGAAGAGTAGGTCAGTAGGTCGAAGAGCAACAGTCAAGGTTCGGGGAGCAACAGTCCCGGCAACAGTCCCGGCAACAGTCCCGGCAACAGTCCTGACAACAGAAAGAGAGGCAAGAAAACGAATAAGTGAGAAATCATGCATGGACGTAGTCACAGGTATCGCCACAGGTATCCGATTTCGGAAGTGGAGTAACTTGCAAGTTGTATGCGTAGCCTTTGCAAGTACTAAAGCCGACAAGCATACAATGCCTTTAATTGGGCAGAATAGTACTGGCCATTGAATTGAGAACAATAAAAGAAAACCATGAACGGTTTATCGTAAGAAACATTGTAGCATTGTAGCTGTTGCTGTTTATCGTAAGAAACCTTATTGCAGCTGTTTTTCGTGAGAAACATTATTGTAGCTGTTTATGTGACTGTTAATTTTCTTCATGCACGTAATTACTTGATAACAAGTTCCGTAGGAATGGTTCGTTTATTAACAGCCCTGACAGAAAGAGGACCGAGAGAAGAATGAGTAGTGAAAAGTGGCATACACGTACGTAAAAGGAAGCTGATGATAGGACAAAAGCTGAGACAGAACTACGGCAACGGACAACCCTGCGTCTTTTAGCCTCTGAAATCCGAGACGCAATTACGGTCCATTCGCGATCCATTCAAATATGCATTCATTACGCAAAGACGCCCTCTACGACAGTTTCACACTCGCCAGAAAGACGGTTGGACTACCCGGCATGCAGATTCATCCTACTGCCGATATCTGAGGAAAATTGGACCCTGAGTTTTCCAGCACGTACTATCTGCTACGACAGCGAGACCTCTAATGCGGGCCCATGTTGTTCTGCAAAGTATCATGATCCTGACGGCATGGAGAGAAACCACCTATGCATATATTCATAGAGCCAATTTGCTTCTGATACAGTAGTTGGATGATGTACCAGAGCATTCCAGGATGAGATCATATCGAGTGGCATTCCTTGTTCTATGCTTCGGACGATTTTTACGCATTTTTACACAGCAGCGCATACCAAGGGACGTTTAGAGGGAAACTATTGCGCCTAACCATAACGACGTGCACCCAACACCTGCATTGGAACACTAGCTCAAAGGACTCCAATTTGATTCTCACATTGTACCTGTCAGGCAGACAGCATACATTGCACACAGAAACATCTTCGCATCCGAGATCGGCCCGACACTTATACAAAAATTGCAATTAGAATGGAAACGTACGTAGAATAGCGCATCCGACACATCACTACCCACAGGTCAACAAAGACAAGGGCTTAAAACGCTCTATTTTCGAACCTCCTGAAGTTGAGATTGCAAAATCTGTTGTGAAGGTACAGAAACCCTGCGTCGTTTTGGGGGCCACTGTTGTGAAATCCAGGGGGGGAAGATACAAAAGTATTCTTCCAGTGTGTGTGACAATATCCAAAGGATGGTCGTCTCGCGCAGAAGCGCACGGGGTCTCGCGTACGAACGCGGTAGCAAATTCTTGCCAAAGAATATCGTGAATACTCACAGTTGGTGATTTATTACGTGCCCTTTCTTCTTCTTTTCCTCGCTCTACAAAGCGGTAGGGTACATATATTTGTCAGTAACGAGAACGCCGCATCTCTAAGAGTTGCGCTCCCTGTCTGCATTATTTTCTGTGAGCTCTCCGAAATGCTGTCTGCTTCTTCCACATTATCAGCAACGAGCTTCTACACGTGTTATCTGTGTCAACGTATCCCATCTCGCACACGTGTGTCCGTTGTGAGTACACACGAGTATTGACGACTGACAAGCACATGTGTTTCTCTACAGCCACCACCTCAAGGGTGCCTACAGTATCCTGCTTTCACAGCTTGATTGCTGACTTGTTACTACTGTGCTTGACCTAAGCACCGGCGAGAAAGAAACAAGCGTAAAGCTTTTACCGCTTTCGACAATACGTACAACCGCGAATGCTAGATACTGTATTGAAATGTATACCGTCTCGGTTTTGCAAAGCAAGT